TGTGGACAACATGTCTACTTCAGGATCAGAAGGTCATGTGGACAAGATGTCTACTTCAGGATCAGAAGGTCATGTGGACAAGATGTCTACTCCAGGATCAGAAGGTCATGTGGACAACATGTCTACTTCAGGATCAGAAGGTCATGTGGACAAGATGTCTACTTCAGGATCAGAAGATCATGTGGACAAGATGTCTACTTCAGGATCAGAAGGTCATGTGGACAACATGTCTATTTCAGGATCAGAAGGTCATGTGGACAACATGTCTATTTCAGGATCAGAAGGGCATGTGGACAAGATGTCTACTTCAGGATCAGAAGGTCATGTGGACAACATGTCTACTTCAGGATCAGAAGGTCATGTGGACAACATGTCTATTTCAGGATCAGAAGGGCATGTGGACAACATGTCTATTTCAGGATCAGAAGGTCATGTGGACAAGATGTCTACTTTAGGATCAGAAGGTCATGTGAACATGAGATATAAATCATGATAACTGTATTGGTTTGATTTCAAGCAAATGAACATTACTTGAAACCTTTCTTATCCAGGCTTACTTAATTTTACAGAAAAGATGAAGACATATTAGCCAAGTATTTATTGTTTGGTTGACAGAAAATGGGATCACAGGGTAAGCTAATGACAAAGACAGAGATAACACTATCAAACCAACAATCCTTTCAAAGAACTCTGAGGTGAAATAAAAACCCAGTAGGGGAACTACAAATATCCATATTGTATTAATGAAAAGATACAAAGCCTTGTGATCAAAGTATCCCCAAGACTTTACAGTGACCACATGAACCAGACAGATGTTCTGACCAAATCTTTGTAACCAAATCCCTCCCCCTGATGGCTCCTCAAACAGCATAAGCTGAGGGTCAAACAAGCCAAATCACTCACAAACATTAAAGAAAGACTGGCTTTAACCATCTCGAGATATATAGTGCTATCTCAGGTCCTAAGTCTTCTTGGTTCTCATAGCATTCTTCACTGGCTTATGTTGTTTGCAAAGAGGCATTTGGCTGATACACCATTGTTGTGGCCAGTGTGTGAGGTGTTGCTATAGATCTCCAAGTGGGGATGAAATATGTGTATGTATATTTCAATGGGTGTCATTATCAACGTAAGTGACATGGCTTGTATGGGACAGTGATGTTAATGTCCTTTATCTGCTTTCATGGAGGTATATTACTTCTTGGAAGTAAACAGGTTTTCAAACACAAATCACTACTACTGACATTATTTATTTCCACTTCATCTTAAAATTCATTTGACTCTTTCATCAAAATCATCGACATTGTAAAAAATATATTACCTTAATTCTTAAGGCAAGAACACAAGCAGAATTGGTAAGGTAATTTGTAGTCATTTTGGATAAAATTAAACTATCTAGTATACCTTACTTTTGCATTAAATCTAAAATGAGAGTAGGACAGTCAGTTTCTTCAAGTTATTTACTGTAAAGATGATACATTTAGTTTAGCAATGTTCCGGAAAGGAATTATTACAAATTGTGTGTTTATTCCTTCAGGCTTCCATCATAAGTCCCACACCCACATAGACTGGAAAGGGCATAACACGTTATGGAGGGAGGCCTTGACCATGGTAATACAACAGAACAATAAATGTTTTCCATCACATCTGTGATAAATGTAATTGGTTTCAAGATCAGTACCATTTTAGTCATATGAATCCCTTCTTCCTGAAAGGGGCAGTGGGGTAGTCTAGTGGTTAAAGTGTTGGCTCGTCACACCGAAGACCCGGGTTCGAATCCCCACATGGGTACAATGAGTGAAGCCCATTTCTGGTGTCCCCCGCCGTGATATTGCTGGAATATTGCTAAAAGCGGCGTAAAACCAAACTCAGTCAGTCTTCCTGAAAGTTTCGGCTTCATAGATTTAGACTAGCATCTAAACATAAACTTGTTAAGCCCCAAATGTACAGATGTAATTTAAGATATTAAACATGATTATGTTGTGCTCAAGCTAGGGACACATGTTCTAGACCCAGACTTCAATAAGTACCAAATTTTCATATTGAACACAAGGTTAAAGAATTAATCTGGACTTGTGACCTGAAGGCTATATATTTCCTCCACAGACCTCAAAGTCTCCATCCTGCTCTCATAGATTGATGTATTGTGTACAAAGATGTGACATAATACAATTTGTAGGGAATAAATACCAGTGATCTGTCAAGCCAGTCTCATAACATTGCTTCAATATCTGACAGCAATATAATACCTCATGTTTGATGTGAGGGTAGTCTTTGTGTTGAACTGCCTCTGGCATGCCAGAGATGTATGGATGATAAATTTACCATGGCTCAATTAAAGACTCAATCTGGATTAATTCCTCTACCTTGTTCACAATTGTTACAAAATAGATTTGTCTAATATGTAGGTCATGGTGAACACAGATCTACTTTCATGATGCATACAAGATTGTTAAAAGGTAATGAATGGGTAAATGAGATTAATTTTATGCTGCTTTTAACAATATTCTAGTATATTCAGTATATGATTAATATATAGTAAAAACTATGATCACATTTCTATGAATAACACAGTCAGTTATAATATTAATAATATATATATAAATATTTCAAAATTGATATCAGTAATTTAAAGAAAATTCCTTTCTAAACAGGTGTTATGAATTGATAAACTTGGATAGTAGTAAGGAATAGATATTACCAGAGACCATATAATAGATAGTATTATATGGTCTCTGATATTACATTTAATTATTATCAAAACTTCAATAAATACTTCAATGTCAATAAATTTAACCAATATGCCCATGAGAATCATCTTATACCATTAAATAATTCAGATTCAATGCGAAATCTGTACTAAGAGTTAGTACAAATACCATACGTCTAACCCAAGATGTCTCAAAATGCATCTCCAATATGGCATCCAAACACCGGAATGTTAGGTTTGGCAGTCTTAGTAAAACATCAACAATCGTCACTTTGTAGATTCATACAGGAATTTTTCATTGGCTGAGCAGTGTATTAGCTTTGCACACAAATCTTCCACAGTAAATGTTGGCTGCGGAAGGGAAAGGTCACCCTACCACAGCACTGATACAGGCAGCTAATGCAGCCTACATGCTGATAAGACAGGGTGATCTTCTTGGTGCTATTGCTTTTAGTGCTGGGACCTGGAAATCTTTAGGAGGCTGTTTACGACAGGCCATCAGGTGGCATGGATGTTTCTATGGTGTATTGGCCATCATGGCTTGAGGGTAATAAATGGATGTCTGAATAATTGGCACAAAAATAGTACAATCCTTTGAAGAACGGTGCTGTTTATTGTCAGAAAGAGCAACTAATGAATCAGATATGAAAATAGGACATCATGGTTATAAAACCATGATGTGAGCTATGTTGGTGGTTTGCTTAAAATGACTTTTTTAAGAAACATTTGGTAAAATGACAAAGATTGGCTTTTGCCCAAATTGTCAAACAGTAGTTACAAGTTTAACCTTTTATTTCTTTTTTTTAAACTAAAGATGAAAAATTAGAAAAATTGAAGAACAAATTGTGCTCAAAAGCTACTTAAAAATGAAAGATAAAGATAATCCACTCATAATCCTGGTAAAAATGAATGAATTGAAAGTAGGGTCATTGTCACAATTATCGTCTACACATGGAATCAAAATTTAAGTTTATTATAAGACCAGTCCATAACTTTAACATAAAGAGTCAAAAGGGCAACAAAAGAATATAAAGTCTGTGTGAAAGTCGACCCCATATCAAGTAAATATGTTTGCTTAATATACATTCTGTACCACAGCCATAACAACCACAATAAAATACATGGGACATTTTCTCCTCAGTTTGACCGGTGGCAGGTCACTACTCCTATATATGAGTACCACCTTCTCTCTCAACGCTAACCTACATAAAACATAGTCTCGAGGGTTGTAAACCTGGACCCTACAACTAGAAGATAGGTGGCTGAAGCCCTAGATCAACCCGTGGAGAGGGCCCCTTGACACTCTTGGTGTTGGGGACAGACTGTTTGCTTTGTACCACAGAGAATAGTCTCTGTGGTGGCAATGAGTGATCCATCAGATTCCATTCTTTTCGCTGATGGGGCGAAAATGTGTCACCCTCCTTTAACAAGTGTGACCTACTTTTGACAAATGCAAGGTGTTAATTGTTAACAGGTAGTGACATGCTTACTGTACACAAGTTAAAGTTCAGGCTGATTTTCATTTGGATGAAGACTGTATTGAAAATCATTCATGAGGAAAACAAAACAAAATCACAGGTAGTAATTCAATATTATTGCACAGAACTTTAAGGAAGTGATTCTGGTGCCTCCTCTACTTATCACATTTTTAATGAAATAAATTTGAATTTGAATCAAACTGTGTATATCATTTTGCTTCATCAATATTTATGTTAGTGCGCGAAACTTTTGCCCATGTGTATATTACGATAATTATTTCCAGTCACAGACATAGGGTTGGATTGGAGGTTACAGGTGCTCTGTGGACCTGTATAACCACAGGTAGTTAAGCAATTAATCGGCTTTGAAGTTCGCCGCCGTGTGTGCACTCAGAATTATATCAGTCTGGGCGATCGAGAGATGTTTGCGTTTGGAAATTTATCAAAAGATCTGTCTACTTATGAACAGATATCGAAACGAGTTCCGAATTAAATAGGCTTAAAATAGAGCCACGACATTGAAAAAACTGCTTCGTCGAGGACATGACAAGCAAAGGAGGTGAAGACTGTGTGACTCATTCAGGTTCAACTTAATACATCGGCGCAAGTTTCGCAACAATGTTTTATACTGTGAAACTAACTTGCAATATTGCACTGGCGAATAAAGTTGATATCACACCCCAATCGATAGCAAAGTGATGAACTACATTGAACACTGGTGTTCGTATCACCTGTATCGCTCCTTGACGGGCGGTACAGCATTAGGCTCAGGTGAAAAGTTGCGTATTGCTTGTCGATCGAGAAATGTCACCTACCTTCATCTTGTCCTAATGCAGCCCATACACAGGTAAGGTATAAAACACCACAAAACAATCCACATCCCATGTTTAGGTAAATGCAGGGCTCATAAGCCCATCCAGTGTCAGATCCGTGTGTATCCGTCTATACCATGTGAAACGGCCTGCATTGAAATTTCCCGGCTAGGATCCGAGCGTGCGTCTGTGTTGACACCACCACCTACAGGGCGCTCAAGTGAGAGTACGGAAACCAGTTGGGGCCATCTATGCAAGGCTCAGCCCACTGCCCCCGCGATCTTAACTACGTGAATAAACTGATAACAGGGCTCTGTCATTTTACTATTCACAACGTTTTACTTACGAGGGATTTATTTTAAAGCATACAAAATAGAACCTTTTTGTGGTGGTGTTTTTTTCTTTATGAATTAGCAGATTTAAAGGCCACTGACATCTTACCATTTACACAATGTGCACATTAGGTTTTATTTTAAATTTTTGTGAATATAATTATATTTCATATTTTGAAATTGGGTTTCACGTGAAGCGTTGATCCATGCGCGTTTTGAAGCAAGCAAATGGTAATGGGTGTATTTATAAGGTGCAACGATAACGTACCCGCCTGTTTCTACATGGTGTGACACAGGTGCCATTGGATGATTGCATGTAAGGCCGCTTCTACAAGTATTTTCATTACATGACGGACTTCAGTGCTAAGCCGTTATGACATAGCTTTTAAGTACACATGGTACTGCTAGACGAAGGATCGTAAACGGAACTGGGATTCGAACTCATGACCAGATATATTGACAGCTACAGAAAACGGTGCTGTGCAGAAACTCGGAGCACCATAGACCTGTAAACCAGTTGTGCTTTCCATACATTTGCGTCTTGTGCATACAGTTTGTTTCATTATGTGAGTGAGTGAGTTTAGTTTTACGCCGCCTCAGTAATATTCCTACTATTTGACGGCGGTCTGTAAATAATCGAGTCTGGATCAGACAATCCAGTGATCAACAGCATGAGCATCGATCTGCGCAATTGGGTGTTTTATTATGTATTTTGTATGAGGAGTTGTGAAATGGTGTAAAAACATACCGATGTCGCATGTCACCATGGCTCATACTGCTATGAAGCCAGTTTCAGACAGATGTGTTGATCTGGTCAGATCTGGAATTTAGGGCGTATAAAACATTGTTTTACGATCGTTGGCGGCACTTTAGTTGAGTCACAAGGAACGGCTTGTCAAGAATCCAGTTGGGAGCAGGCAAACCATTATTTTACGGAATCAGCAACAATCCACACCGTCTAGACTCGACAGCAAACTAGTTTGCTTTGACAACCACTCGCAACTTTCCCTATCATTAAGGTCCTCTTTCGACCAGGGCCCCGTTCCCCAAAGCGATCGTGGCGCTAAGATGATGGTAACTCCCATACTTTAACATAGACTTACGACTGTCGTAGCGCTACAATCGTTTTGAAGAACGGGGCCCTGCCCCCGAATGGCATGATTGAACTGGCCTGAACGCCCCCGGAGACGTTCGGATTCACTCGACCGATTCCGTTACCCACATCATGGGACTGGAGTGGCCATGAGCCGTGTAACTGTGAAAACTGTATTTCATAAATCTCTGACCAGGGCCCCGTGTCAACGATCGTAGCGCCAAGTATCCCATACTTTAACACAGACCTAAACTATCGCTTTGAGGACCGTATTTCGTAAATATCTGACGGGGTCCAGGTATACCTAACTGTTGATAATTATATTCCCATGCACCAGACGCATGGCTCGCACTAACATGGTACAACCCACGCAGTTCACGTTGGGATTTGTTTCGAGTTTTGTTTAATTTAACTTCCACTACACAGGGGCGTTGAAGCTTTTTACTTGGACTTGTAAATAAACTCATTTTTTTCTGTTTAAAGAGCCAAGTTGTTAGCACGGAAAACGCGTATCTTATTATATATGTGTTTTGGGGTTGTTTGAAAATATTTTTCATTATGCATACGCTGATTTAATCGAATGTCCTCGCCCAATGGCCTATGACAGTGCCAGGAACTCTTGGTTGGGTTTGGGACACAATGAGCTATTTCCCCATCTACCCACTCCCTCAAAAAATTAAGCTGACTCATTATACCGTTCTTACTGAAAATGTTTACTCATCTGGATTAAGGTGGTGATGGGGTAGCCAAGTGGTTAAAGCATTAGCTCGTCACACAGAAGACCCAGGTTCGATTCCCTACATGGGTACAATGTGTGAAGCCTATTTCTGGCCCCGCTGTCACAAGAAAAAAAATGGTGATTTACATATTTACAAGTTGTAAATATCATATTTACAAAAAAAATTCCAAAATTGTAAAGATGATATTTACAAGGCTTGATAGAGATATTGCTGGAATATTGCTGAAAGCGGAGTATAACATTCACATTCCCTTATATCTGAAACACTTCAATTACCATGATAAATATTGCTGAAATCGGGGTAAAACTAAACCCACTCACACACCCATCTGGCTTACAACATAATATTCAGTTTAAAACGTTTAATGGTCGGTATGGGATTGGGAGAACATTTCAATTTTTGATGCATGGCCAAAATTATTCCTCTTTTTAGATGAGCTATTGCCTTGCCTTTCATGTGTTTGTGACGGGTATAACCTGGAGCTCTGAGTACGCTCGCTATTTTGCAGAAACCTGGTATTATCGCTGTGAGTGATTCATAAACACACGATATAGTGGAAATCGTACAATATAGATTGGTGAAATGGTTTGTCAGATCTATTTTACGGGACTATTTTCCACATTTGACTCTCAATCGCGTAAGCTTACAATGTTACTCAAGATGTTAACACAAACAGTGAACAGGCTCTGCAGTAACCTTCGGTTAATCGTGCAGTGATACACACACCAGACCTGTTACCTACCATGGCTTCGTTTTATGCCTGGTTCGAATGACCCTACGCTGGAAATACCCGTCCAATCAGATTACTCTCAAGAGCGAGAAAAATGCTGTGCTCGGTAATAAAAATATGGAGATGGTGACGTTTTGAAACAAAGCTACACTGGGGCATGGTCCATGGTATTTATTGTGATAACATGGAGACATGACTCATTAGACAGTCGAGGATGGGCCTCAACGTCAAACATGAAACTAATATCAGAGTCTGTCAGGTTCAGTAGCTCACCATGGTTTCTCATTATTTTAGTTGGTGACAATAGTCGACATGACCACTGTCGGTCAAAAGTAAGTGCACACTTAAAAATTTGATTTGACCAAAGAAGTGCAAAAGTTCTCAAGTCGACGCTTATTTGAAACCAGTGGCCGAAACACTGTACCCTATAAGGTCCACGACACATTGTTGATATCGGTATCAAATACATCATCATTGAATGACCATTTCTTTGTTCGTACATATCTTAGGCACCATTTAACACTATTGTACACTTTCTTTTGTTCGAAGGTTTTTCGACCTGGTTATACTGCCAATACACTTTGGTGACATAGTCAAAAACAAAACAAAAACAACTACAAACAACGAGTAAATGAGTGAGTTTAGTTTTACGTCGCTCTTAGCAATATTCCAGCAATATCACCGCGGGGGACAGCAGAAATGGGCTTCACACATTGTACCCATGTGGGGAATCGAACTCGGGTGTTCGGCGTGATGAGCGATCGCTTTAACCAGGAGGCTACCCCACTTTCCCTAATGCAATATTAATCCTACAAAATTTACGTATTTGCTGTATTTTGTCCTTGTTGCGGTTCATTGAGAAATCGTAAAGTTCTTCGTATCCAGTAATATTCGATTCTTTTTGGGGTAAACTATACATTTTAACTGGTTCGTATTTCAAATAAGGGATTTTTATTTATTTTTTATAAAACTGATTGAGGGATTTGAAGATCTGCATTAATTAGTTCGTTGTGCAAAACTAGACAGCTCTGCAAACAACAGATATATAGATAAGCTAAAACACCAAGTTTCCTTTAGATACCTATCCCCAAACCAAACATGCCCCACGTTACAGGGTTATTCTTAGGGCTGCCCTTATTAATTCCTCATGCTGATCTAGTATATACTTAACAGCTGTTTGACTCAGCGGAACAAATACCATGCGGACAATTGACCGAAGTTTATTTTACCATTAGTTTACGTGGAAATGATTCTCACATGGGCCCAGGCAGACCCAAAGCTTAGTCTCTGTAAATATATAACTTTCACAGAAACAAATAACTCTATTTATATTGAAAAGAAGTCCCATAGACGGACGACTAGTCTCTGAAATGAACATATTTTACAGAAATAATTAGTTCACAAATTATCTCCATAAATTATTTTTTAAAAAAACCCAGAGACGTTTTTAATTTTCAAAAACTGAAACTACGGTAATCTAGACTTGCCACATATCCTAGACTTACAGGGGCTGTATTCGTTTCAAGCTCTGATTGAAAGAGTGAGTGAGTATGGTTTTAGCAATATTCCAGCAATATCATGGCTAGGATACTAGAAATGAGCTTTACACGTTGTACCCATGTGGGGAATCGAACCCTTGTCTTCGGCGTGACGAGCGGACGCTTTAACCACTTGGCTACCCCACCGCCCCCTGATTGAAAGACAAGGCTTTTGCTTTACAGAGAGGGCTGAGCGGAAGGGGAAATAATATGGTCCAGTGACTGTAACACAGAGTAGGTCCATGACTGCCCCATTGTAGTCTTGTGAGCCTTGTTGTTGTAGGTTTTGTTTCACCAGATCCTGGGCGGTGCTCGTAACACGCACCTTGTGGGCTGGGGGCAGGGGGGATTGCTGAACTCAGTGTAGACCGAGGCACAAGGTCATGTGATTTGAAAAGGATTCCCAGTGCGATCGGAGGATTTAGAACATCCGGAAAGTCTAGTCATGCTTCATTAAGGGTTGTATCATGGCAGTAGGACCTGGACGAGAGGAGAATTAATATGTCTGAACATGAGACAGATTTGGAGACACCATTACATAGATCGATGCTCATGATGTCAATCCCTTGATCGTCTTGTCCAGACTCGATTGCTTACAGATCGCCGTCATATAGTGGAATGTTGATTTGGGCACCGTTAAACATCAAACATATAAACAAATAAACAAACAAACAGACCCAAACTTGGTGGCTATTGCACTCAAAGGTATCCTACACTATACATTTCTTATTATTGATACCTCCGGGTTTCTTGCCTCAA